CGACCCCCCCCCCCCCGACCTCGCACGCTGGTTAGTTCTGCACCCCTCCGCGTATCTTTTCCGCGTCCTCCACACCCCGCCCTTCCTCCATCCCTCCCTCTCTCGCAACGGTTTGTTGCCTTTGTCTTCCACGGGTCTCCATGAACAAGCAGGCCCAGGCCGCACGAGCTTTCGACATCATCGCACCGGCGGCCGAAACAATGGCCCAGCGGCGGCCGCGGTCGGGCTGCGGCCGGCCTATGCGGCCGCGGTAGCGGACGGTGTCGAGGGGACTGCGACAGAGCGGTTAGTGAGCAGCTACGCGGCGACTAGAAGTACGGCGAGGATGGGAATCGTCGGGGCCGGGGTGGGACGGGCGGTGGGGAGAGGACTGGCCGCTGCGGCGTTCGCCACGGTGAGTGTTGGTGGTAGCGTTGTTTGGAGTTTTTGGGACGCCTGCCGCGGAACAGGTTTCTTGTTTTTTTCTGCTCCTGTTGTTGTTATTGTTGTTGTTGTTGTTGTTGTTGTTCACTGTGACGTGGGGTATCGTTTAGTGTGTCCTTCACCGATCCCTTTGAATTTCGTCGCTAGCTATGTTTCGTGTGGTTTGGCCCAATCAAGAACGACGCGGCACATCATCTTTGCTATTTCACAGCCAGATTTTTTTTTTTCACGATTTTGTTGCCCCGGAGAACTAACGACACTGTTGCTTTTTGTATGTCGCTTTTCGGCACAGCAGTCGCCGCAAGCAAGAGCAGCACCGTCGTCAGGAATGCTCGCATCTGCTCGAGTGGGCATGCGCTATCTCCTGGAGTACAACAAAAGTTTCTTTCGCGATTCAGCATCTCATTTTCTCCGGGTCAACCAGCTGCTGTGCTTTCCTCTTGTTCGTTTTTGTTGAGTTGTATCAAACTGCCCCCCCCCCGCCCCCCGCCCCCCCCCAACTACCCAACTAGCCAAGCCTACGCCCCCCCCCGGCCTGTTGATAACATACAAAATACAGGGAGGCTTTCTTACTCGCCGGACGGTCGTGGTGGGCGCGGCGGTGGCGGCAGTAGGACTTCTCGGGGCTGTGGCCATGAAGGTGCTGGACACCCCCTCGAGGCCGTACGACGCGGACGCCAACACGGTCGGGAACGAGTATGATGCTTGGACGGAGGTGGGTGGGTTTGTGGGGCATGTCGGCATCTTCCGCGAGGATGTTGAGCTTAGCTTGAGCAGGGGGTGCGGGGTTGGGATTGGGATACGAACCCCCCCCCAGTGACGTTCGGGAGGATATTAGGCTTGGTGTTACTGTAGTAGGGGACACGGAGGGTTGTAGGGATCGGGATACGAACCCCCCCTCTCTATTTCATGGATTTGTGACGGTGGCAATATTTAGGGTCCTGGCGAAGTCTGTCCGACGAGATGGGTTCCGGTGGCAGGGTTTTACGACGGGCAGCAATCCGGTGTTGTTGGGACACTGCCGATAAATATCTCGGGCGTTTTTTTTGCACTTTGTGTAGCAGAAGGAAAGGGGCATGGTTTGTACCACAGATGCCTTACATGGCGGTCCTGCAACCGTCGTTGCACGTACGCCCTGCCATGATGCCTTCGTGCTTTGTGGTAGACCCCCCATCTGTTCCCAGCTACGAAGCCCCTTATGTTTTTTCATGTTGTCCCTACCCACACCGACGCCAGCGTTGATATTTTAGACGCTAATGTTGCTGCCTCTTGGCGTCCACGTATGTCTTTTCCCCTACGGTTTGGACTTGGAGGTCTGCACTGAATGTTGATGGTGATGTCGCCCATCATTTCCCTTGGTGAAAGTCGGTCCTATATGTCGCTATCGGTGATATCGACGAACGACTGCTGTGTGTCGTGTCGATAAATGCTGACGCTCGTGGTCACGTCTGGCCTTCAGGACGGCATCTTGGAGAGCTACTGGGGAGAGCACATCCACCTGGGTTACTACAACGAGGAAGAGCGGAAGAAGGTGAGAGAGACCCTCCAGGCTGCTCG